TCCCAAGACTACCCCCTGCCCACGCGTATATTTCTCGCGGAGTGCGATAGATTATAATTTAGGTCTTGACAAACAATGGATCCCCATCTGTTTCAACAAACAGACCAAAATGAGTCTTTCAATCTGTAATCATTCACATGTTTATAAAACTCCATGGCCAAAAAAACCCCCAACTTTCTTGTTATGTAGTAGTATTCTATTTTCATAGAGGTCTGTCTTTAAGGAACATCTTTGTTTTAATTCATTTACAGGCAATTTGTCAAATAATACCAATTTTGTTGCTTGAAACATTCTGCTGTCACACATTTGTCACACATCCAAAAAGGTTGTACCTTTGAAATATGGCTAGAGTGCATATAAGAAAGCCATGGTCCACAATGTTTTAGCTATCAACACGTCTCTCTCTCTCTCTCTCTCTCTCTCTTTATCTCTCTCTCTCTCCCTCTCTCTCTCTCTCCCCCTCCCCCCCTTCTTCCCTCTCCACCTCTTTCCACGTATTTGCTGCCCTTCTGTCTATACCCACCACTTGATTATTAAAGAGCCAACAAGGTGAAGGAGATTGTGCTGAAACAGAAGAGTTTAAAGAGTTGGGATTGTCTAAAATGAATTTAATTATTATGATGATCTATTTGTCACTGAAATACCATAGCAGGTTTGAGCAATACAAATAAAACAGTAATACTATTGCACACACTGCTACCTTAGAATTACAAAGATCTACCTGAAAGTTTTGGCCTTTTGAGTTAATAAGACCACGAGGTCAGCAATCAAATTAATGTTCTTTCTGCTCTATCGAAATCGTTTAACTATTTGGAGCAGTTATTTAGAAATTCTAAGGTGCTTGACCGTGCTATGAAACTTTTAAAATTTAACCCTTAATAAAAAACTTAAAAAACTGGGTACTGAGCAAATAGAACTTTGTTATTCTAGGGTAGCGATGTAACCTGTAACAAAACCAACAGCAGCAATAATCTTTTTTCCTGAAACTGGTAAGTCTTTCTGTAACCCTGGAGTGGGGGGTGGGGGTGGGGGTGCTCTTTATTTTTGAATATTTCAAAAGATGACTCAGACAACTTCTCTTTAATTGTTCCGAACTTACCACTCATGAAGTTGTATATGACAGGGTTTAACGCTGAGTTGAAGTAAGGTAGCCAGTGACTGACCAGGGACTGGACAATCGGGGCATGCATGTCTGTTCCGTAGTCCACAGCTTCAAAGTATCTGGGGAGAGATTGAGAACAGAGCAGGTGAAAAGCTGCTTAACTACAGTTGTGCTTCGTTGTTTGTGCACATTTTGTACGTCTTGTTTGCATAATGAGCAGTGTTGTTTGTGCATTGTAGATTGTTGTACTCTGCAACATTGTTTGTGTATTGTGCTACATTGTTTGTGTATTATGCTACATTGTTTGTGTATTATGCAATATTGTTTGTGTATTGTGCTACATTGTTTGTGTATTATGCAATATTGTTTGTGTATTATGCTACATTGTTTGTGTATTATGCTACATTGTTTGTGTATTATGCTACATTGTTTGTGTATTAAGCAATATTGTTTGTGTATTATGCAATATTGTTTGTGTATTATGCTACATTGTTTGTGTATTATGCTACATTGTTTGTGTATTATGCTACATTGTTTGTGTATTATGCAATATTGTTTGTGTATTATACCTCGTTGTTTGTGTAAATTGTGTGCATCGCTGTTTGTTTATAATTTAGCATAAATGTATTGAGTGCTTTTATGTGGTAAAACTGAATCCTTGTTTGTGGTTGATTTTCTGGTATATTATTATGGTGGGGCTTACCACCCAGCATTTCCCTTGAGGCTCAATAAACAATTATTTGGTGTCCTGTACCCGGCATAATCTACAAGCTTATTTTAATGAACATGCAGAGTCATCAGCTTCTGTCAAAATAAAGACCTACGGGGTCAGGACATATTTCGC